TGCGGGCGAGCTGCTCCAGCTTGGCACTGAAGAGCTTGCTGCTGCTGGTGTTGCCACCGCTGTCGATGCCAGGGCCCTTCTGTTTGGCGTTCAGCTCCTCGGGGAAGCTGGCCAGGAAGGACCCGGGCTGGCTGGAGGGACTGCTCGTGGTGCTGCTGGTTGCGCTGTGCTGGGGGCTGGCTCTGTTCTTCTGATCCAAGCTCGACTTTCTCACTGGTGGCAGAGGAGGGGTCCCTTTGGGACGAGTGAGGACACCGTGTTTGGGAGAGGCCATTTTCTTGTCAAGGCTAGCCTTAGAGAACTGGGGGAGGGCAGGAGAGCCGACTCCGCTGCTGTCAGTGGCAGGAGGATGGAGGTGACTGTCGGGCTCCTCTGGCTTGCTTGCCTTTGGGAGCCCTCGAGGGAGGCTACCGTTCTTCAAGCCGTCACTGGAATGAATAGGGCTTTGGGTTGCAGAGCCAGATGCTGCCACCTCGCAGCCATCCACAATCCTCTTTAGACTGTCAGATCCTGGGGAGACAGAGGCATCCCCACTGCTGCTGCTAAACCTGTCCGCTGAGGGCTGCTTTGTGCTGTGCTCAGGCTTGGCTGAGACTGCGGCCGTGTCAGGCCTCGGCCCATCGCTGCTCCCAGAGCTGTCCTTCGCTACATCTTCTTCTCTCTTCAGCCAAGGGTCTTCAAATTTGATATCCTTCTTAGCACTGGATTCTTTCCCGTCATGGGGCTGAGCAACCTTTGGGTCTGCAGTTACTGCTGGTACAGCATCATCAGTGTCTTGTGCTTTGAAGGGATTAACGGCAATACATGGGTACACGGTAATGTTTGTCTTCATTGGGATGTAGCCTTCACAGCTGCTGAGGCTTGCGGTATTTTTGATTGTGACAGTAGTTTTCCCTAGAGCTGATATTTTACAGCCTTTGATGGGTGGCACTTTGCCGAACGCTTCCTCCCCCATTTCCGACAGTATAAGCATGTTGTCGGTCACTGGCTTCTGTTTGTCACTTACACAGATCATGCTGGCACTTTGTATGGTGCTCGCAAACTCAGAAACAGGGGGTTCTGCCATTGCTTCCCCATGCCCATAGCATGCCTGGGCTATGAAGCTGTGGCACGACTGTTCGCCATCACTCCCTGTGCTCATTTCACTCAACCATGAGCTGATGGATGAGCGCCTGCTGCCATCATCCTGGGATTTGTCATCCAGGCCCAACTTTGGAAGCGGAAGGAACTGTGTGATGCTCACTTCAGACACAGGAGCTGCGCTGGAGTAACATTCAAGATCCTCAGATATGCTGCTGATAATACTGACTGGCCTAGACCCAGAGGCCAAAGCCTGCACAGAGCAGTCACTGTTAAAACTGATGATACTGGTTGGGCGTCCATTGTCAAGGACGCCACTAATGGTTAGCTCTTCTACAAGGGTGAACACCAGCTCATCCTCTCCATTCAGCTCTAACGGTTGCTGCACAGTCACCATGGTGGTGCTCAGAATCTCCTTCTTGGATTCGGGAGAAATGCTTTCTTGCCGATCTTCATCAAGAACAGTCTCGTCAAAATCCCCACTGCTGGATGACACCGACTTCTTCGTGATCTGAGGGCTCATGCCTACAGGTGGGGTCCGGATTTCTGGCTGCAATAAAGATTCGCTAGACGTCATCCCAGTATCTTTACTCAGGGGAGCTGGTGGGGGAGTGGAGCTGGGCAGGACTCCTTTCTGTGTATAGACCTTGCACCTCTGGGAAGGAGAAGTTGGTGGCTTGTACTCAGATGTCTTCGAGAGGCTCGCAATGCCAAGCCGGGGTGAACCCATTGGCCGAGGTTTGCCTTCCACAAATCCACAGGTGTTGAGACCTTCTCTGCTGCTCTGCAAGCTGGTGCTGTGTGCTAACGGACAAGAGTTGAGCTCCTTACTAGAGCTGCCTGTCACACTCCTGGGAGAAGAAGGAGTTGAAACATTAGTAAGAGCTCCAGAAGGAACAGGGGAGTGATTTCTCTTAGCTTTGCTGGGTGTTGCATTTATATTTTCCTTGGCTTCTCTGCCAGGATGCTGACATTCTGGCATCGTATCTTCCTTATCTGACTCTGGTAAGTGGCTAAGCTCTGCCAGCTGGCTTGAGACAGAGCACTTAGACATCTGGTCTGAGCTAAATTGAGCAGGCATCTCTTCAAAGGGAAATTTGTCGGTCTCTTCACTGCCATCTATGCAATCCAGCCTCTCCTGGAGCTCTGCAAAGGTGTTGCACTTCAGGCAGTCTCTTTCAGATGTGCTCGGCCCCGAGTCACTAACTTCCTCCAACCTGCCCTCATTTTTGGTCTTTTGCAGAGCAGGAACTATGGGAACAAAGTCAGGGGGGCCCTCGTTATCTGTCAGCTCCTTATCAGAAAGGGCGGTGCCATTGGGGCCAACGTAAATCACCGTGTCACACGACTGCTCACTGCTGGACGAATAATCAGGATCACTTGATAAATGCAAAATAGGGAAGTCTGGGTCAACGGTGTTTCTAGAGTGGAAAGGTCTCAGTTGGGTTGGCCTCCGCATCCTGCCCTCCTCACAAGAGCTCTCTCCTCCAGAAGAACTCGATGTGTACTGCAGTGAGAGAGAGAGACCACGACATTTCAGCATTGCAAACAGCTCCTGGCACAAAGCACGTACACAAAAAGCCCACAGTCACATCTAAACTGGGAAATCTCTCAACTAAGGCACAGAGCTCTGAAGCTTCTTATCCACAGTCCTACGGCAAACACACAACAGTGTCCAATGGAGAGCCCAATGCCCTAACTCGGTGTCCCGCTTGAAATCGTGAAACTTCCCCAACAAATGGATTAGGATCCCTTCCTTAATGGAGCCTAGCCAAAGATATCAGGTATTTGGCAAAGGCTTTGCTGCTTTTGTGTCTGCATGTGTGTATGTGAAGAGGAACAAGAAAACACATTACATGAATAAGGCACAGAAAACAAAGACACTGCCCGTTTGGTTGTACTACCAGTGTGTGGAATTGTACAACGCGCGCTCAGAGGTCTCTGGAGACTCGCTGCTGTGATGGCGCGTGGGCTGAACCCCTTCACTTGTCTCTCTTCAATCCATTGACAAAAAAGGTTTTGTCAATCTCTAGGCTGTCACTTTAAATGAAACACACAGAATTCACTCGCTGTGCCCGGTTCACACCGTAAGCCGTACAGAAGGAACCAGGACTCTAAAACAGGAGAGTGGATACAGCCCATCCTCACTCTTCTTCCTGGAAAATCTATCACCCGTATTTAGAAGCAGTGGGAATAAAAGGGCCATCGATGCTGGCAATGGACACACTGCTTTGCATTTATTTTGCTCCTGCTCTTTCTGAGAAGCATAGAGAACCTAATTCTTCATTAATCCCGATTTTCTTTAACTCTACAGCAGTTTCATTCCTTATTATTTCATTAGCTCTAAGAGTATAACTGAAAATAAATGCTCTCTGACAGCTATATCATTAAATGAGGCCAGCTTACAAACCTGCTGTAGCAGATATGTCTGAACTCGCTCCTCTGTATCTGAAGCCGAAGCATTTACTCCCCCCTCGTCTCTCCTACGTGCTCTGAGCCACTTGCCTAGGACAGGGTACACACAACCCACGCGCTTTGGAATTGATCCCTGGTTTTGTGACATGCTGCTCTGCCCTATTAATGATCCTTTAGGGTCCTTCTTCCTCCCTCCTCCACCATCACAAGAAGGGAGTTATACATTGTCTTACCTTAGTTTTCTTTTTCTTCATCCTGAGGACCCTTGATGCGATCTGGATGGTGGACAGCGTCTCAGCATAGTTGCCCGCAGCGGCTGAAATGTGAGCTATCATTGTGGTGCGGCAGTTCATATTCCCCAAGGACTCCCGAAGCAACATGGTGAGCTTGCTGTCTCTGCAAAATAAAATGAATTAAGGCTACATTAGCGAGCAAGGTTTCACGTTGAGTATAGTGATGTGACTTGGGTCTCAGCAAGATTTTTTCTCCTCTTTTTAATGGAATCCTAATTAGTTTCCTTCCTCAGGTTTGCAATAGGTTGTGTCTGCAGCTGAGCACGCTGAAAGACCCTGGACTACAATTTAAACTTCTTTCCTCTTCTCAGTTGCCCCCTTCTGTCTTCTTCTGGCCTCGGTCCTTCTGCACTGTTACCACTGCCAATACAGAGATGCAGTCCAGCGCTGGAGATGAATTGGTAAGGGGCCGCCGCAGCAAACATCCAATTGCTGCCCTTTTCCAGTGCACAGTGTGCAAGCAAACTCCGGCCTGGCTCTGGAGGACAAGAGGGCAGTGGATGAGATTAGAGGACCCAAATTTTCTCTTGCCTTCTAGGGCACTGGGTAACTCAATAATAATAATAGTTCAATCACTGAAACTAATTTTGGATGATGCCGGTGAAATACAAAACCATCAAGCCTTAAGACGTTGCACAATTGTTGTTTCACATTAGATCTTTTCTTCCACTGAGGCGGAAATCAAATTTTCTGTTCTTGCCATTTACTCTATTGTTCAGCATAGGACAGCTTTTGAAATGCTGATGCCTTATTGTGGGGCTGCCTGTGACTGGACTAAGAATATGAATTTTAAGAGCATAACGATGCATATGTAATGCTGCTGTGGTGGCCAGCTAATCCTGTAGTCAGAAATGCATGATATAATTTTTAAAGAAGCTCCAGCTACAAGGTGTACAGCTCAACTGGGTGGTTAGTTGTGAAATGCCGCTCTCTTGAAGAGAGCCTCTCCCATGCTAAAGGTTGTGGATGACAGGTACAGAGAGCTGAAAGCAAGGACAGCAACTGCCTGATACTTACCTGCTGCTAAAAGAATTGCTTTCACTGTTGTAGGGACCGCAATACCTTCAGTGGCTGGGGATCAGATTTTTGGGGCTCACTGTTCAGTATCTCCTAATGACCTATGGTGCACGTGTGCCTTTGGTCATCTTAACATTTCCAGTTGATGGGAATTCTGCATATAGCTGCTGAAGGTGGGAACAGACGCTATGCCTACTGGATGGGACTGACAGACAAACACCAAAAACTCTTGAACCTTTCTTTTGGATTGAGTAAACAGCAGCATTTGGGGTGCATATTTTTATGCATCTTGCAGTAAGTCTGGGGAGCTCAGCTAGGCTAGCAATACTGGAAGTAAAACATTTTCTGTTTCAGGATTTCTGCTTCCATCTGCTCCAGACACACTGAAGACAGTCTGGTGTCTTTGAGAAGCAAACAAACATCCATAAAGACTATACTGACACAGCCTCACTCATTTCACTTGTGACCTACAGCTGCTTTGAGTCCACAGATCCAGAGTCAATAGGCTGCTGTATCTCAGGTTAGTGGCCCTCCTTTCCATCTAGGAATAATTAAGATATCAAATTTTGTACATCAGTTACTGCCACTCCAATGCAGAGTTACAAGGAAATTATTAACATCTGCAGAGAAATCAATAACAAGCCTTTCATTTGCTAGCGCTTCTATCATAGCAAAACATGAGACGACAGGGGAAAGGGCAAAAGAATACATTCTGAACATGTCGGTCTCCTGAGAATACATAACCCATGCAGCCAGCATCAGCACACTCCGGTGTGGCTCTCCTAGAGGTATATGCAGTAGGAATATAAAATAATCTGTGCCATCTGCCTTGTACTGAAATACATGCTTGCAAGAAGAATGACGATACAGAGGAAATGCCTCTTCTATAATTCAAATGATCCTCCAACATATATCAGATAGGAACCAAAGGGCAGATTTGTTTAGGATTAAATCCTGAAACCTAGCAGCAAAAAAGCCCACCCAAAGCTGATTTCTAATTTCAGAGTTTGCTCATTCAGCACAGTCTGCATCTTGACTATCGACTTCACTTTGCACCCAAAGTAACCAGCCTCACGTCACTACTGTACACTGAAAAATAAAACAAAGAGGAAGACATTTGCTAAACACAGATTTTTGTAAATTCTGGACATTTCATAAGACAAGTTCACCTGTTCAAGGTTCACTGATCTCTCACAATAGCACCTACTAACTTCTAAAAGAAAGAAAGAAAATCAAAGAGAACATAATAACACAAAAATGTGTGGCTTAATTTTTAACTCACTCTATCCGCATCAAGTAAACGATTTGTGAAATATTTTTGATGTCTCACTGAAACTTGCTTGATGGACAGAGTGAGACACAAAGTAGATGCTTTGTTCTTCTCCATGCTGACGTGGCACTTCTGCCTGAAAAAAGAAAGGCTCTGAATTGTTTCATTAGGTGATTCATGAGTTGGTATTTGCAAAAGCAAAATTTCCTGTGAAAGCAGAAGTTTTACAAGGAGAAGGTCTGCACTTATGCACTGGAAGAGCTTTGAGAAGGAAGACCTCTGTTGATCTTGTGGCCGTGCAAACTAAACTAAGACACTGGAAATTTTGAAGAAGCTTCCAGAAAGGCTGCTGCTCCTGGGTGCATGTTGCTCAGTGCATCAAGCAGAAGGTCCCAGATTTCCCATAGCAGCACAGTGAAATGCACCAAAGTCTTTACAGCAAATGGGTGATCTTCAGGAATGCTAAAGGTCCATTTCTATTCTGCTCCAAGAGCAATTAAATTATATGCCAGAGTGGCAGGATGACCCCATTTTATATACCTGTCTTCGTTTAAAATGTATTTCTATCCCATCCACTAATGTTTTTATAGTTTAGGAAATTTACCATAACCCATCATGAATCCGGGGACAGAACAGAGAGAGAACAGTGAAGGTGGGGTGAGGATACCAGGCTGCACACTCCAAAGACTGTATATCAGTAAGTCAGTCCTGCAGCCTTTTCAGTACTTACAAGTTACCTCATTTTTCTAACTGCATCACTTGGTCTAATAATAAATAATAATAAAATACATTACCCTTACTTGTAAACCTTTTCTTGCCTAACTCCTTAGATCATCATGGCTACAGCAAAATACTACTAAGCACTATTCATACATCCCCCAAGGTAAGACCCCAAAAGTACACAAAGCCCTACCTCTGGACAAGCCTGGAGGCGGGAGCCCCAGGGGCAGGCAGCCAGAGCGCGATGTCTCCGGGCAGTACGTCAGCAGGTACCCCACACGGCATCCAAACGGAATTGCTGTGCAGACCGTGCCAGGCAGAGAGCTCCCGAGTGTTCCTCCACGCGGACAGGAGCTCCCTCTTCTCCCTGCTGCTCCCTGACCTCCTCCGTATTTCCACCCTCTCACATTAGAGCAGCTACTGAAGGACTCACAGTGCTATGTTTGAATCTCTCAATAGCTCCCGTAAGGAATGCTAGCAGGTGTTAAACCTCCCCACAAGAGAGATGTGGCGGTGCCACAGTGAGCACAGTGCTCTCCGTTTTTTTCTCTTCTGAGACTTCACCACGCAAACTGGGATCAGTGTAAATTAGTCCTTTCACTCGCTCAGTAAGAAGGAAAAATGTACATCTTCATGCTCCTCTTATACATATCTGTATTCTCCTTCCCCATGAATGATTAATTATACGCATATACAGAATCTTACACTGAAGAACGAAGTACTCAAGATCATGATACGTTTCCTTGGACATTGCATAAATCCCACTTGCCTATGTGCATTAAGTCAAAGTCTTTAATTTCATGACTGGATACTATTTTTCCACTAGATCCCTGTCAATCCCTGCACAGGATAAACAGTGCTCACTGAGCAAGAAGTTATTCAGTCTTTCATTTAATCCTTGCCTTTTAATGTGTGGAGTTGCGCCTTATCTGCTATTAGGACTGTACAAACAGCTCTGAATGCAGAATGACTGATTTCTTCAAAGGTTCTTTTTTTCTCTTCTTTTTTTTTCCCCTGTGGAGCTCATCAATGCAGTGCCTGATGAATGCCTCTGAGGTGAGGTATATAATCCTCTGATAGTACCTGTAGCATTGAAAACTTCACCAAGTATAGATGTTTGGTGTGAAGCACATATTTCAGAGTACTGAGCATTATATACTTTTTGACATTCAAAGTACAGCTAACTTTGACTTCTCTTGCAGATAAAATGGGGCAGCTGGTTCTCAATCTGGGCACCAGGAAAACCAGGAACATACAATTAATAGCCCATCTAAAAATTTTAGGAACACATTGGCAGAGCCAGTTCTGAAGGTGGTACCAGCTCCCTTCAGAAGACCTTCCTTCTCTTCCACAGCTCTCAATCCCATTTTCCATATGCCTTCCAACTTCAGCTACAAATTAGGGAACGAATTTATTGACAACGACCACATTGCCGTACAGTCCTGATTCATCTCTAAGGCATGTCCTTTATCTGCCTTGAAAAAGATGATAATTGGTGGGCAGGGAATCCTGCAGAGACAACACAATATATAGCCCATGGGGCCAAAGTAAGTTTGCCAGGACAACCTTAATTTTGACTTTTCCTGCCCCTGTAGTGATTGATTTCACAATCTGAATGCTTTCATTACATTTATTTTATGTAATTTCACGTGGCTTTGTGTTTACACTTCAATGAGACATCAGCAAGCCTGGAACCCTCCTAGGTATTAAAAAGCCTCAGGTGCTGACCTAGCTGACTGGCTGGCAGCAGCAGCTGGCTGCCACCCTTTGTATGGACAAGCAGTAGAGAAGGAGGACATGACTCACAGTTTACCACGAGGATTTGCTAGTATTTGCCGCCTGGAGAAAACCAGCGAGACTCAGGAGCATCACAATCCTTTCCTGTGCTGTAGGAGAGCTGTGCTCTCATTTGTTCGCATCCTTTTTGCCATGCTCTCCTCTCATCAGACAATCTTGTTCTTTTCTATCAGTGTCTATCCCCGTTTTTCCTCCTCCAACCTACTTACTCGTTCTCATTCCCATATCATGGTCCTCACCCCCAGCTCCTCACCTGAACAGCCCAGCAGAGCTCCGTTTCATCCTGCTGTGCTCCAGCC